CGCACCGACGCGTCCCCGGCGGCCCCGGGCTTCTGGCGGTCCCGGTGAGGGCGGGAAGCGGAAGCACAGAGGGTGATGGTTGGTTGAGACCGACGCGACATCCCCTAAAACTCCCCCGTATCATTCCAGTGCAACGCACGAGCATGAAGATGAAGACGAGTATGAAGATGAAGATGAAGATCCTGATGGTGATGCTGACGATGATGAGGACGTCGCTGATGCTGATGGTGATGATGAAGATGATGATGATGGTGATGGTGATGATGATGGTGATGAAGAGTATTATGATGATGGTGGTGATGATGATGATGATGATGATGATGATGAGCCCGACCCCTCCCCAGGCGCGGCCAGACAACACTATCTTCTGTTCTTTCATCCAGATCGTATCTCTCGGACGGTGCAGCGGTTGACTTCACAAGCGGCGGAACCGATCGTCCCCCTTCTGAATTGAAATTGTGGCGGAGGCCACGCCAAGCGGGGAGGGTGTGGGGGGAGCTTGAGCGAATTTGGTCGGAACCCAAGAGGGCCGCGGAAGGACAGACGGGCACCAGCGTTTCAAGAACATGCTCAGCCCGACCCCTTCCCAGGCGCGACCAGACAACACTATCCTCTGTTCTTTCATCCAGATCGTATCTCTCGGACGGTGCAGCGGTTGACTTCACAAACGGCGGAACCGATCGTCCCCGAATCAGCCCGAATTGGCCCCTGGCCCATGTCAACACACCAGGCGGGTTAAATTGTCAATATGATTTCTGTCGGCGGCACCCTTTAAGTGTAAGCTGAGACGAGAGGCCAGCGCAAGCCCGAAGAAAACGAAAGGCGACTTACTAGGAGCAGACACACAGCGGTGGCGACAGAGAAAATCATTACTACCAAAAGGCCCACCCGAGGCCGTTGAAATATCGAGCGGACCGTGGCGACCCGACGCCGAAAAAGCACAGGGGGACACTCTGGAGGTCCAGACGCCACGGGCCCGACACCAAAAACCGAGATACTCCTGAACAGATTCTAGTTGCTCCTTGCAGGGACTGATTGCAATCGCTGGAAACCCAGCGGAAAAGGCGGCATTAACAATCTTAAGAAAGGTGTGGATGCACTGGGCAATAGTTGCACGGAGCTGGTAATTACTGTCCCCCGTGTGATCAGCACTCAAGTCGGGAAGCGTCACAACAACGCCGCGCACGGCACAAGAACCGACCCACCCAATGAGCATATTTCGGACGACCGAGAGATCACACATGGAGGCGCTGACCCAAACTGCACCGTGCTCACTGGACTCACAAAGGCACCGGCTCACCTCACCCTTCGAGAATCCAGCTTCGAGGAAAACTGGACTCTTTTGTTCGCACCCGAATTTGAGGCCTTGGCGCAGCTGGCGCGCAAGGCCCCGAGCACACTCTGCGGCAGAAAGGCGGGGACCTGCAAGACGTCGGTCCCGCCGAGCAGGCTGCCCAGCCGCGCGTGGATCGTCTCGCTCCAATCGACCACGGCCTGCGGCACCCTGTTCAGCAGGGCAAGGTAGCGGACGTGCTTGGCGTAGCGCAAGCTGCTGTACGGGTTGCCGTGCTGCAGCCGCTCGGTGACCCCGCTGGGTGGGAACTGGTCCCCGCCGCGCGACTCGCGGCCCCGTGGCGCACCTGGCAGGCGACCGCCGTAGGCGCCTCGGGCAGCGCGGCCAGCCGCTCCTCGAACCGCTTGGTGAACCAGGCCCCGTCGAACGACCAGAGCTGGCAGCTGGGGCCCCGAGCCCCTCGGAGGCGCCGCGGGGCCGCGCTGCCGCCGCCGCCGCTCCAGCATGCCCCGCGCAAGGTCACGCCCTCGTCGGCGCCCATGACCTTGCTCCTCGCCTCCTCCTCAATGGGGTAAAGGAGAAGGGCCCACGTGGGCTTCACCGCCCTGCCAGGCCCGATCAAGGTCTTGGGCGTCATGCTCACTAGGTCGGACGGCAAGCGCAGCATGCCGTCCCAGGCCAGCCACAGCGCCGTCGCGAACCTCAGGTCCTCCAGCAGTAGGCTGACCCCGACCACCGCCAGCACCCAAGGTCGGCACAGAAGGTCTCGAGTCCCTCTTCGGGCGCGGCGGCGGAACCCAGCCACCGCTGCCCGAACCACAGGAAAGTTGCCGCGGCGAGCCGTCCCCAAGCTGGGTCGAAGGTACTGCAGGGCAGCCAGCAGCCTCGAGCCCTCGCAGACCTCCATCCCGTCGAAGAACAGGACGCCCATGTAGTTGGCAGCCAGCTGGTCGAGGCGCCGAATGGAGATCTCCGCCAGCGCCCCCTCGTTGGCCCACTCTAGGAAGTTCCGCACCCGCTCTCGGAAGGCGGTGCGCGTGGGCGGCTTGACCTTGTTGGTCTGCAAGAAGGTGAGCCCATGCTCGACGCCCCCCCGCGCGTCGCCGTGGCGGGCCGCCCTGGCGCTCGCCCGCTGTCTTCTCAAGATCTCGGCTCGAGTCGCAGGCCGACCCGCTCGACTCCGTGTCGCTGCTGGAGGAGCTGTCGGGGCTGAGGCTGAGGCGGTGCTCGACCCCGCTGGCGTCTCCCAGCGGGTCCTCCTGGTCACCATTCGGCTGGGCAGCACTCTCGGCGGCGAGGTCCCGCCCAGGCTGCTCGCGCTCCTCAGCCTCGCCGAGGAAGCGCGTGCCGCCCGCGCCCCGCCAGGTGGCTGCCTCGCCGCAAGCGCGGGCGAGGGCCGAGGCAGCAAGGCCCCGCGCCTCGTCGGCCCCGAGCTGGCCATCATGGCGGCAGTCACCTTCGTGGGAGCTGAGCGGCCGCCCGATGGTGCGGCCCCCCTTGTCCGCCGAGTTAAGATCGCTTGGGAACCAGCGCGCGGCTACGGAGGATCCAGTCAGGATACTCAAGGCAGCCAATTCTCTACACGCCTGATTTAATACATAATGTGACGGCCTTTCCTGTTCCAATGCAAGTGTCAAACTCAGATTGTCGCACAAGCTCAGGAGGACATGACCGAAAGCTCCTGCCCGCCGAAGCCGATGTCTCACACCAGTGATCAGCGCACGGTCCTCTAGACGCATGTCCTCAGGGCGCCGCCAGCGCCCGAACACCTTCAGCTTCCAGGAGTCCTGCGGCAACAAGGAGCTCGGGTCGATCTCCTCGAAATTCACCTGGTGCTCGACCGATGTTGACGCACACCGAGCAGGCTGGGCAGCACTCGACGTCCGAGTTGACCCCTCGCTCTCGAAGGGCAGGGCCGCGCCTGACGTCTCAGGGTCCTCGACAAGGCCTGTCACGCCCGTCAGCTCCCTGGCCTCGCCACCTCGTTCAAGATCACGCGCAGCCTGGAGAGCATGTCGCCGAGCCTCGATGGCACCCTCGAACTTGTACCGCCAACGCTCCATACAAGAGGCCGCGGCCCAGGCGTCGCGCTGAGTCCAGGTCTTCCCCGTCACGGCGTAGCCTCCAGTACCCGTGCCCTCCAGGTCTCCTGAACCAGTGGAGGCGTCCGTAGCTAGCACCGCGGGGCCCACCGCCAGCTTAGTGTCCAGGTAAGCAAAGGCGATGAGAGCTGCTGCCGCGCGGCACTCAGTGGCCACCTCGGGCCAAAGACGCCATAGCCGCGGCCCTGCAGCCCGAGCGAAACGATAGGCACTGTGGAAGACGTTAGCAAGCAGCGCCGCAATATGGCGGCCCACGTGTAGTGGCCGAGGAGCGATAGCATGTCGTCGCCGCTGCAGTAGCCGCGCTCGGCGACCTCCAGCAACGCCAAGCGCAGCCTCCAGATGCGGCCCTTGATCACGGAGATGCGACCCGTCTCGAAATCGAAGCTCAAGCCCGTGAACTTCTGATCCCACGGGTCCGACTGCACCCCCTTGCACTTCAGATGGCTGGCCTCCAGGCGCTGGTGGACCTGCTCAATCGCCGTGCTCACGGGCACAGGGGCGCGCCCGATGGCGGCCGCGCCGTCGACGTACACGGCGACGCCCGCGGTCTCGCTCACGTCGGGCACAACGCACCTGTCCTGTATGATGCGGTTCGCGCTGATGCCAGCCGCGACGACCTGCGAGGCCACCAGCGCTTGGCAAAAGTACAAGCTCCAACTCCAGCCCATGGGAAGGACAGTGAGCAAGGGCGAGACCTTGCCCTCCAGCCGCGAGCCGATGTCCACCTCGGGCAGCGCCTCCAGCAACGCGTCTACGGGCACCGCAGGCAGCACGAACATCTCGTCCAGCCCAGGCGGCACCCCGATGCGATAGAAGGCCGCCTCGATGTCCACCTGGCTCAGCGAGAGGTTGTGGCTGGCTGGGATCTTCAGGCCCCGCCAGACGCCAGCCGATGGCAGCGCGGTCGTGTCGGGATCGATGAACTCCTGGTTGACAGCCCTCGCGTCGAGGATCATCCTCAGCTGGCTCCCCGACTTCTCGACGAAGAACAAGCCCACTGTAGAAGGGCGCGGGGAAGAAAAACGAATCATACCTGCCTTGTGCATTTCACTCAAGAAGCGAGCGTAGTGGCGTGGAGACCGCCGCAGCTTCTCATCAAAGTACGGAACGACTGGGTCACGAACCTGTTCGGGATCGCGCAGCAGTCGCTGACGCCAATCGCGCCACAACTCGCGAGGGTGACCGTCCAGCAGCTCGGAAGCGTCGCACTTCACGGCGTCGCTGGGGGGACTCACACGACCTTCGGTGTACACGATGGACTTCACGGGTTGACAGTCATAGCCCGGTGTACTTCGGCACAGCTCCGAAAGGGCCGCCGCCGCAGTGCAAGGTGGCCCACCAAGGGCCTGAATTCTAGCACTCATTTGCTCGATGCCTTGGCGTTGACCCAAGGAGAGAGACTCGAAGTTGCTCGACGCATCGCGCCCGTATAGCCAATTGAGACCACGCCAAGCTTCACATGCCCAGCGAGAAGAGTAGGAATATTGGCGAGCACGGCTTCTCCGATGTCGAGCCGAGGAGAGGAAGCCGTTGAAGTCTTCCTCGACCCGCAAAGCCACGGGGACTGGGAACAGCTCCCGCGGCACCGCCATCACTGAGACTCACTTGCCATCCGCGGCCGCAGCCGCTCCTGATTTGCCTTTCCCCTTCGGGTCGATGGCCGCCAACTTCTCCTTCAGGAACTTGTTCTCGCTCGCCAGCTTGTCGGCGCGGCTCTGCAGGCCCGCTGAGTTGTCGTGGCCTCCGCTGCCGCCTGCGCCGCCACGCCGAGCTGTCGATCTCTCCTCTCGTACTTTGCGTCTCTCCTTGAGGACGCTCGCCTCCTTTTGCAACTCATCTGCCACGTAGCTTGAGAGGGCGGGCGAGATCATCATGAGACCGCGGGTCTCCGACGTGCCGAGGTAGATGTGCTCATCATCGGCCAGATCATCGCCCGCCGCGCCCACGCGGTGGAGATACCTGTCCCTGTACTTATACTCAATCATCTGCGCCTTCCTGCAGATCAGCTCAAAGATCACGAGCTCTGACACGTTCAGCTGGTCAAACGGAATGCCGATCTGCAGCAGACGCAGACAGAACTCGTGAAAGTCGACCCCTGGATCTGAAGACGACAGCCCCGCCTCTGCCTTGAACAGAGCGTGGCGGGAGCGAGGCGCTACATCCTGGGCCCGAATGAAGCGACACACCCAACCCGCGGTCCTCGGGCTTAGCAAGGGCCAGGACGGCCAGGAAGTCTCCGTGAGCTGCTTCACGCCCTCGCGGAACCCCAGGTGACGACCGTCCCCTGCGCTCTCGTGGATCGCCAGCACCCGTGCGTCGAGGGCCGTCTCTGGGCTCCCGTACTGCACGAGAGAGCTGCTGTTGCCGACCTTCACGAAGCCGAGGCCCTCGCCGATCACCCCGAAGTCCACCGACAGACTGGGCAGCTTGGCAGAGCTGCTCTGATCGCTGCCCGCGATGATATACCACCCCTTGCTCTGGATCGGGCAGGCTGGACACGCTCTCCCAGTCAGGCGGAACCGGAGCTGAATCCGAGTCCAAGCCCGCCTCCTTGGGCGCTGCTGGTCGTCTCACCGTCGCCTCCACCTCGGTGAAGGACCGTGCCGACGCGGCCGCCACCGCCTCCAGGAACTCCCGTGACTCGGGTGTCCAGTCGGCGCCGTACGACCTCGCGTTGGCGGCTGGGGCCGTGCCAACCACTGACGCGCGGTCCTTCTGCCCTCGGAGGACTCTCACTGCGCCCTGGATCGCGTCGGTGTGCAGCACGTGGGGATACATGTCGCCGTCGGGCGTGATCATGTATAGGATCTCGTTCCGCTCCTGCTGGAGGTGCTGTCCCCATCACTGTCGTGAACTCGGCGGCGGTGGCGAAGCCCACGACGACGCGCGCCTGCCAGCTCCCGCCCGCGCGCCACTGCACCTCGATGCGGTCGCCGATCGCCCAGGCCGCAGCAGCAGCCATTGGCGCCGATCAGCACGCCCAGGAGCACTCCTCCGATCAGCACGGTCCCGACAGCGACGCGCACGCCGCCGAACACCTGCACGGCAATCGCACAGGAACCCGCCTCTGAGACCACCGCGCTCTCCAGCACGCGGTCCGCGAGCCAGGTCGCCGCTCTGAGCGAGGCCTGCACAGTAGCTGACATGGGCCGCCGCGAATTAAGCTTGAGCGAATTTGGTCGGAGCCCAAAAAGGGCCGCGGAAGGACAGACGGGCACCAGCGTTTGAAGAACATGCTCATGATGATGATGATGATGATGATGATGATGATGATGATGATGATGATGATGATGATGATGATGATGATGATGATGATGATGATGACGAGGTGGAGGAGGAGGAGAAGGAGGAGGAGGCCACATTGCCTTTTTCAAAACGAAAGCTCACACAGGAGGGTTGGGAAAAACGAGGACGCTCATGGCCGCCAACACTGGATCGCTGGCGGCACTTGTGATAGAACACCTGCGCGGCCCGGGACGCACAACTACCTGGTTTTGCCAAGATTCGCAGCATCCCTGCTGGTTGGCTGAACAAAAAAAACCAACTGTCTCACCGCCAGCAGTCGACGGTGCGCGCTGATAACTGGTCCGCGGGGCTATCACCATGGCTCGCTCTAGAACCCCTGGACCCAGAGGAGTTTGCATCTCTTGGAAGGCAGAATCTTACTTACTTCCCGTCCGCCCGCCCGCCCATAGTAAGCGGAGCGGCCCCCGTTTCATATCCGCCTGATTCCGCCGCGGCCAACCGAGGGCCCCCAGTGGCCGAAAACTATTAAAACAAAGACCGTCTTGATGTTTTCAACGCTTCGGATCGGGGCCAAGGCCACGCCATTGGAGGGCCAGGGATCGGTTCGGCGATGCCCAAGGCTTGGGACCTGAGGCCCTTCCCCAGTGGCCTCGCCTGCGGCGAGGGCACGCCCGGGGAACCTGGAGCTGCACCAGGAGGTGTTCAGCGACGAGTGCCCCTCCATGGCACGGCTCTCTCCAGAGCGTTCCAACGTCAGACAATTCCAACAGAACATGCCGACGTCGTGATGTTCTGCGACGTGCCCCCCCCCGATGTCCCGGCACCCTTCCCCAGGGCCTCTCATTCCGAGGGATTGTCTGAAAGTCTGGGGCCCCGTGGGCCTCAAGAACGTCGTCGTGTTTTTGTTGGGGTGCGAATTTCAACACTCGGGCGGGTGGCCATGGGGGATGACTTAGATGGGGAGTTCAAAGAAAGGCCCTACAGGAACCCTTCAGGGCTCATTTTCGGCCCCTGCTGACTCCAAAAGGGGCCCTAGAGGTCCCCATTCAGGGCTCGCTTCTTCACCCCTCCCATGTAGGTCACCCCCCATAACCACCCGACCGAAATACATTCCATACACACGCCGAAATTCAACACATTCCTATGCCCATGCCGCCCTCCTCCTCACAAATCGTCTTCTCTCTGCGCTGGAGTCTTCGCATTGACCGCGCAGCCGCTCCTCCTACCGCAGCGTCTGGTCCGTTTCCTCATCGTCCTCGTCGTTCTCCTCCTCCTCCTCCTCCTCCATCCTCCTCCCTCCCCCTGCTTCTCTTGCTCTTCCCCTTCTCTCCTCATGCTCCTCCTCCACCACCTCATCCTCCCCCTCGTCCACCACCTCCTCCTGGCAATCCTCCTCCTCCTCCTCCTCCTCCTCCTCCTCCTCGTGCTCCTCGTCCGCCCTCTTCCTGCTTCGCCTCCTCCTTCCAATCCTCCTCCTGCCCATCGACGTCCTCCCCTTAGTCTCCTCCTGCCCTAGCTCCTCCTTATCCTCCTCTCATTATAATGCTGTGCCTCGTCCTCATCCAACTCCGTTTCCTCCTGCTCTTCCTCCTCCTCCTCCTCACCCACCTTTTACTCCTTTGACTTCCCCTCTTTCCCCGCACCCTGTCTCCTCCATAAACTGTCTCCTGCCCCCCCTGCCCCTTCGAGGATCCTCCCCCTATTCCTCCTCATCATCCTCCTCGTTTAACCTGCTCCCCCATCTGTCCCCCCACTCCTCCCAGCCTCCGCACCAGAAAATTCCCAATTCACCAGGCGTGAGGAATCAAACCGTCAAGCTGGATGTGAAATCGTCTAGTGTGGATGTGTTGGGCTCTCTGGGCTCCTCCGCCTGCCCACTTCTCCCTCATCGCACCACCTCGGGCTGCAAGGGCGTTGTTCCTGAAAACTGCCTTACAGCTTGCGGTTCTGAAGCTGCTACGCACATGAGAAGCGGATGGCTTAAAAACTCTTGCTTTTCCGTGAGGCTGTCAGGCAGGCTGCACCCCGACAGTACGAAAGCCCCAATCGCTTGGCGGAGTGCGAACATTGACGCCTCCACTGCAAACACGCATGACGGGCGGACTGTTTCCCAAGCCTGACTCTCGTTGCCCGGCTCCAGGGAACGCATGGCCTCAGAGCTTAGAAATTCCAGCAGCTGCAGTGGTGGAGGGCGGTTCCCTTAGGAAATCAAGCTCTCGCCTGACACATCCTCACATGCTTCGGGGGAGCGGCAGGTGCATTCCGTGCCGACGTGGGCGCTGGTTTCTGACACCACGTGGACCCGTCATCCCTGGACGACCACGGCCTTCCGATAGCATTGTTCGCTCGACATTGGCCGATGCTGGGCCGCTGGCGGCGTTCAGCCTTGAACGCCCGCGCAGGGGTGGCCGCCGCGAAAGCACGACGCGAGCCTACCATACTTATGTATATTTATATATATATATATGTATATATATATAGAGAGAGAGAGAGGGAGAGAGAGAGAGAGAGAGAGCGAGAGAGAGAAAGAGAGAGAGAAGGGGGGGCAGAGTAATCAGCAGTGGTGCGGATACAGGGCAGGTCCTCTTCAGAATCGGGCTTCGGCGCTGCTCGCGCTCTCCTGAAGACTTCAACGCCTCTGGCGTGGACCCAGGCAGAGAGATAATGCAACGTGTACGGTACAACGCAAAGCAAAGCAAAGCAAGACACTGCAAACCATTGCAAATCAATGCCATCCGTCGCTGTGAAATGAAACCCGATGCAGCGCTAGCTGTGAGATTTTAAGCAGTGGTGGTATGCCAGAACCTGTCGTGATTTAGGCGGTGATATGCCATGGCACGCTTCCGGAACCAATTGTTCGATTGCATTGCATTGCGTTGACTTGTACCCGACGCTGCGTTGCATGGAATACGTATGCATTCGGAAGATCCCTCTAATCGGGGACGCGCTTGGACCTTTTTTCCCCGTCCCGAAGATGGCACCCGCTGCGCGACATTGATGATGCAACGAGGGACGACGACGACGACTATGATGATGACGATGAGGATCTTGCTGATGATCGGACGTAGCTTGGCGTGCCACATGTCTTTGTCTCAGGCGGCGAGCGAGCGGGCCGCTGCAGCCAGCACCTCGAAGTGCGCGTTATAATATGAAGGAGGCGTGGGTCCAGTCGACTGCAGACTCAGCATGTGGTAAAGGTTGAACGCCAATGCGATGAGAAAGGCAACACGCTCCCGTGAGGTCTCCCCTGCATATCCGGACTATTCTCCAAATCCGAATCGAGTGATGACAGAGTTGGGAAGGAAGGAGCGGGGTAAGGCGACAAGGTCGAGCAAGCGCGGGCAGGAGAGGTAGTAGGAAAGGGAGTCAGGCATACTCTCACACCCGAGGACACATCCACGCTGGCCCAGACTGTGCATTCTGCGGGAGGTGATCCACCCACCCGCCAGGGTTTTGAGCACAGACCAGGAAATGGTGGGGCGAGAAACCGCCAGGATGTCAGGACGGGCCAGCGCGGTGCCAGGAGGGGCATTTGCATGTCCGGGCACCACGCTCGCACGCGCTTCGGCAGCGCCAGGTGCAAGCGGCGAGGGAGTTAGTTGCTCACGAGTGAGCGTGCGAGCGTACACCTCCTGGAGTTTCGGCCGTTTCTGACACATTTCAGCTTGGGCGGCAGCCTGGGAGGCCTCAGTTGCCGCGACGCGCCGGGGGGCCGAAGGGGCCTTCGGGAGAGCGATCGACCGCGAGCGATCGTGAAGGAACTGTACTACGGCGCGCTGATCGCGCCAGAATGGTGGGCCCCACAGCTCTTGGACATGTCGCGCGAGCGTGCTGCCCGAGAGCGACGCCTCCGAGAGCTCGGAGTACAATGCGCCAGGTCGTGGGATCGCAACGCAGGCCGTGCGCCAGCTCGCTGCTGCAGCGCATGCGGCGATGGACTGCGGGGTAACTCCAGGAGCCCATTCTCCGGGCGACCATGGGTCAGGGCTAGTTAATGAGCTGGGCGGCAGCTTTAACAGCTTGCGCCAGCAACGCGGCTCCCTCGCCAGGAGCAGCTTGGGCGGCGGAAACAAATGGGCCACGTGGCCCGCGGCGGGGGGAATCGCTACTTGGTAGAGGCGGAGGGAGGCGTCAGGAGGCAAGTCGGAGGCCGAGGTCTCGAGGATTCTCTCCCACCACTTTTGCGCGCATGCTGCCCATTGCTGGGCGTCGGCGCTATCGGGGCCAATCAACGCCCCCATGTTTGGCCGAACCTGCCATCGTGAAAGACTGCCACTTCGGGGTGGCGGCGCGGAGGGCCGCTCGCGCGCCCTCGATGACAGCCGGCGCGCGCTCTGCCCTCTGCCGCACCAGCACACACGCACTTGAGCGGGTGGAGGTGGAGAAAGGCAAGGCTCGACGCGGAGGCGACGGTGGGGTAGAGGCGAGAGAGGTACACCGTCTCCGAAAGGACAGCCCCTAGGTCATCCGCGCAGCCGCCGAACGAGCCATCGCGAGGGTCTAGAGGGGGCGCCGGCTCCAGCGAACGAGTACTTGGGTCCATGCCGAATGCCCAGAAAGAGCCGCTGAGTGGGCACCCCTGCATCACGCCTGAGCTGATAAGCAGCAGCGGCGCGACATCGTCGCGGATGCGGGTCGAGGCCAGGGCGAAAGTGCACATGCCTCGAACCGCAGCCAGGCAACCAGGAGGAAGGCCCATGCGTTCGAGGACCGCAAAGAGCCACGTGCGATTCATGCTGGGGAACGCTGCCTTGAAATGCCACAAAGAGGGGCATCCGACAGTCAGCGTCTTCATGGAAACCGACCGCTCTCGCGCGTGCATCCAGCTTGGCTATGTTCTGGCAGAAATTACGGCCTCTGATGAACCCCTGTTGGGTTGCGTGCGCGCGCTCCTGGGTTA